CTGGGCTTGACAGATAACCCCCACCTAAGCTTCTCGAGTAGGTAGGACTACAAGTGCATGCCACCATGCCCAGCTAATTTTTTAAAAGTATTTTGTAGAGATAGAGTCTCACTATGTTTCCCAAGCTGGTCTTGAGCTTCTAGCCTCAAGCAATTCTTCCACCTTGGATTCCCAAAGCGCTGGGATAACAGGCATGAACCACTGTGCCCAGTCTTAGTACTTAAGTTTTACACATTTAAATATACTTATGTCTCTAACTTGATCTTTCATCTTTCAAAGATTTTGTTTACTTTTACGTGCCTTCCTCATCTTGTCCTTTCTCTTTTAAACTCCTTTAATAGCTCATAACATACGCATTCCATTCCGTAACTGTAATTCCCACAGTTGTTTTAAATGTATTCCTAGAACTGAATGAATATATTGCTTACTGCTAATACCTTTGGTATAGTTTCTCCGTTCATCTCATAGTTACTTATAGTTCATCCTTTAATAGTTTCTTCAAGAAAGATAAGTGAGAATTATTCCCTGAGTTATTGCATTTCTAAAATGTCTGTCTTTTGTATTTATTGAACAACAGCTTAGCTGGGTATAAAATTCCTGGTTTTCAACTTTCATTTCCTAAAGTTTTTGTAGGTCTTGCTCCTCTGACTTACAATGTTGAATGTTGGTATGAGAATGTTTGAAGTCAGCAGATTCTTTTTTTTTTTTTTGAGACAGGGTTTTGCTTTGTCGCCCAGGCTGGAGTGCAGTGGTGTGATCTTGGCTCACTGCAACCTCCGCCTCCTGGGTTCAAGCAATTCTCCTGCCTCAGCCTCCCGAGTAGCTGGGAGTACAGGTGCGCACTGCCACATCCAGCTAATTTTTGTATTTTTAGTAGAGATGGGGTTTTGCCATGTTGGCCAGGCTGGTCTCGAACTCCTGACCTGAAGTGATCTGCCTGCCTTGGCTTCCCAAAGTGTTGAGATTACAGGCATGAGCCATTGCACCCGGCCAGATTCTTTTCATCCTTATAGATGAATTGATCTTTTTGATTAGATGCCAAAAGGATTTTTTAATTTTCCGAGTTTAACTTTGCTACAGTATATACGTACGATTGAATTCTTACGATTTATAGATTTAAACCCTTTATTTTTGGAAAACTTATTTTTTAAAAAATTCTTATCCCCAAGTATTCTGAGTCATATAGTTTTCTTAAATTACACTCTAATTTTGGGGGGTTTCATATTTTTGTTCAGTTAAGTAGCAACATGGTCTTCTTTTTTTATTTTTTGAGACAGAGTCTTGCTTTGTCAGGCTGGAGTGCAGTGGCATGATCTTGGCTCACTGCAACCTCTGCCTCCTGGGTTCAAGCGATTCTCCTGCCTCAGCCTCCCGAGTAGCTGGGACTACGGGCATGCGCCACCACGCCCAGCCAATTTTTGTATTTTTAGTAGGCATGGGGTTTCACTGTGTTGGCCAGGATGGTCTCGATCTCTTGACCTCAGGTGATCTGCCCACCTTGGCCTCCCAAAGTGCTGGGACAACAGGTGTGAGCCACCACGCCTGGCCAACAACGATCTTTATGTTAGATCTCCTTTGTTTGTCCTATACATTTATTCTGTACTAGTTCTTCTAAACTCTTGTTGATTTCTATTTCATTTTGCCCATTTTCTGGATCCTGTCCTCTTGGGTCTCTTACTGGGTTGTTAGTGATGTCTATTCTGCTTCTGGCTGTTTCTAGCTTTTCTGACTTTTAGTTGGCTCAAAGCCTTTAGATTCCAGCTGGAATCCCATAAGCAAGTAGCTAAGACTGTAAAAAGAAATCTTTGAAAGAAGCAGATGCTTTTCACCATCTGCTAAGTCAGCTTTTTGGCATTGTATCTTCTTCATTGTATTCCAGATAATCAAACTTTCAGTTTGAGTTTTGCCTTTTATCTCTCCTGTTCAGTCATCTAAATTCCTTGAAGTAGTTCTTTGAGTGTATATTTTGATAGATGTTTTTAATTTGTGGATTTAAAAATAAATATTTTGGGGATTGGTTGGTTCTGTTATATGGAAGAAGGATTATGGAATTGTCTTTTTGCTTCCAGAGCAGACTGAGTATTCTTTTCCCCAAGGAATAATTAGGAATAAATCCTGTGTAAATGGTTTATCAGGCTTTGTAGTATTTTATTAAATGCAAATATTATGTGACGGTTGAAGGGAAATATGCAAAGCTGAGGAAAATACAAATTTGTATTTTCCTGAGGGTGTTTTGATGTGTCTTAACATTTTTTTAATTGTATGTAGATATGGTAGATGCTTTTTCTTTGATCAGTATGCCTCTTGGCTGTGGATGTGTTTCCTTTCAAGCCTTATACCTGTGATGGAATAGATTTTGCTACTGTACTGATGGTATGCCAGCGGTCAAAGATTTGAGGACCACTTCTGACTGTGTTCCAATCATCCACTTGATCCACTTGGCTAATGGGAAATGGCAAGGAATTGTAGGCATCACTTTAGACATTTTAGAATGATGTGGTTCAAAGAAATTGTGACCACAGGGTGTAAGAACTTGGGTAGTGACTGTGCACACATAATTTCTTGCCATTAAGCTGCTTTCCCCAGTCAGTGTACATCAGGATGTTACCCCACAGTGTATTATCTGTTTGTTTGCTATACATGTGTGAGTCTCTATTCATGACAACTGGAAAAAGGAAAGAGCCATTCTGCTGGGAGACAGCAACTAGGATCTTAGATTCTCAAGCCCATGGAGAGCTTTTCACCGCTCATTGTGTTCTATAAGGTTTACCTTGTGTAGTTTGGTCAGAAGCAGTAGTGACAGCAGTATGTGCCATTATCGATCTCTTATTCTGTACCAAGTGCTGTGCTAAGTACCTTTATATACCTTATCTCATTGTTTATTAGAATGTAATCACATGACTTTTAAAATTATTATCTCCATTTTACTGATAAGAAAACTGAGAGGGCCAGGCGTGGTGGCTCACGCCTATATTCCCAGCACTTTGGGAGGCTGAGGCGGGTGGATCACAATGTCAGGAGTTCAAGACGAGCCTGGCCAAGCTAGTGAAACCTTGTCTCTACTAAAACTACAAAAACTAGCTGGGCGTGGTGGCAGGTGCCTGTAATCCCAGCTACTCGGGATGCTGAGGCAAGAGAATCGCTTGAACCTGGGAGGCAAAGGCTGCTGTGAGCCGAGATCGTCCCACTGCACTCCAGCCTGGGCAGCAGAGTGAAACTCTGTCTCAAAAAGAAAAAAGAAAACTGAGACTCATAGTTAAATTGCATGATAATTAAGTGGTAGAATCAGGATTTGAATCCAGGACTCCCTGGCTCTAAAGGCCATGCCCTTAACAATTGCATTGCTGTCTATCAGTGATATTGATTAGCATTGTACATCTTCTAATGCTAAACAAGAATAAGGCATTATAGGCAGAGTAGAAATTCTCCTTACACGTAGTTTAATGTGGGTTAACTCTATGTTTGAATAATTAGAACAGACTTTCTTGGCTGGGCATAGTGGCGTGCACCTGTAGTCCCAGCTACTTGGGAGGCTGAGGCAGGAGGATCCCTTGAGCTCAGGAGGTTGAGGCTGCAGTGAGCTATGATTGCGCCTGTAAACAGCCCCTGCATTCCACCAGCTTGGGCAAAATAGTGAGACCCTGTCTCTATAAAAACAAAAACCAGACTTTTGTTCCTTCCCTTCACATAATCTAGAGAATCAGCTTATGAGATGAGAAGGGCTGGGAAAGTGAATATTGTTTTTCCACAGATAATTCCATACGTGGTTAAATGGATTTTGCTTGAACTTTCTCCCTTTTCCTATAGGGAAAACCTTCAGGCCTTAAATGTCAACATGGAAATCTTTATCCCAAATAAAATTGGCTCCGAGAGAGGTACCATAGTGAATGATATAGAATTGTTTAAAATGGCATCTTCTGTATTTCTCACTGTTAACTAGGAAATGCACACTTTGGTCATTTGGCGATCCCAAAATTAGTTGAGTTAGTTAGCTCAGCTAACATCATATTGGTTTTTCTGGATAGGGTTAATGAAGTTAAATATTTATTTACGTGGGTGTAATGGGTACTGCCCTGTTAATTCCACTGTAACTTTGTAATTCATGTGCCATTACCCTAAGAGTCTTACCAAGTATTTTTGCATTCTGGAACAACAGGGACAGACTCTCCTATTGTTTGCAGTTACCTTCATAAAAATTGAAAACAAACAAAAAAATGAGTTTTTTCCCTCTTCTCAAGATAAGTTTGCCTTCTGCTTAACAAAATTGTTTCCACTCCCCCTGTGGTATGAAGACAGAGCCCCGTCAGTCCACACTTAATCGTGTTACTGGTTTGCAGCCCTCTGCTCATTTCCTGGCTTGCCTTCTGCCCTGCAGTGGGTGCACTGTCACCTTGAAATGGCAGTGTGAGGCAGTAGCAGGAAGAACCCAAGCAGGCAAGCTGGGCTTCTGTTTCACTCTAGGTGTCAATAGTCTTTGATTTGTTCCTGTCCTGCCTGGGAGGTGAGATGAAGAAGTTGTCCATTTCTGCTGGTGTTTTTGCTTAAGACACCCTCAGGAGACCTTTTTCCGTAGTCTTGTGGGTTGCGTTAGTTACCAATCACTAAAAACAAAAGGAGCAGAGCTGCAAGAGAAGTGGCTCCTAATATTTGAAGCCAGGTAGTGAGACCTGGAGCACTGGGTTGAAGGGAAATTATTCTCATGCTATTTTGTAGAGTCTCGTCCTGAGGACAATTAAATAGTCCAGACGGGTCACTGGGTGAGACCAATTTCCTGGTTTGTTTACTTGAGCCTGATAGTTTTTCACCATCCAACAGTAGGTCACAGTCCTGCTGCACTGTGACCCCAGAGGCCTGCAGAGAGCAGTCCTTTCATATTTGATTTCCACAGGCTTCCCTAAGGATCCTTGCATGTCTTTATTTGGTTGGATTGCTCTGTTGTGTCTCTCAGGCTCAGGGTAGAGGACAATGTCAGTAATTACTCTTGACTTCATCTTATGCAGGCATTTGGCTTTATGTCCCGAGTTGCCCTACAAGCAGAGAAGATGAATCATCACCCAGAATGGTTCAATGTATACAACAAGGTAACTAAACTGCCTTATTTGGGAATCACCTTAATTACAGAGTTTAAGAAACTTTTTCTTCCTTGTCATCTTGTGCAGCTAAATGTCATCGAGCTTAAGAAAGTCTTATCCTTTCTCTCAGAATGCCTGTGTATTATTGCAAATTAGTAACACATTTTCAGGTCTGCTCCTAAGAACAGTGAATAAGCTCTTTATTTTCATGCTTGTCTTTCTGCTGAAGCTAATATGAGAAAGTTGGGCCAAATGAGGCTCCTGAATTAAACTGGAGTATCAGCCATGCAGATATGTTTCAAAACTTAAGGTAAATTATTGAAAGAAATGGTAGCAAATCAGATAGATATGGTCTTGTTTATCTCGTTGAAATAAATTTGCTCAAGAACTGTGCTTTGAGAACTGTTAAATTTTGTATCCTGTATAGGAACTGACCTTATTTAAGACAAAGGACAGACTAAAAAGTTTTGAGGGGGCATAGTGAGAAGAACCTTGTTCCTCCAAAAGTGTCCTTGCCTTTACGGTCATGCCATTTGGAATGTCTTATCTAGATTTCTGTGACGTCTTCTCTATGAAAATCTTTGAAGAGAGAGAATTTCACAATACTCACGTGACTTATTAGAATAATCCAGAGCACCTTCGCACCAGGCGAAACTTTTCTTTACTAGTTGCTTCTCTTAGCTCGTAATTTTGCCCTTTACTCCCACTTCCCTAATTTGGAAATGTGCTTTTTTTATTTTCTTTTTTTTTTTTGAGGTGGAGTCTGGCTCTGTTGCCCAGGCTGGAGTGCAGTGGTGCCATCACAGCTCACTGCAATCTCCACCTTCCAGGTTCAAGTGATTCTCCTGCCTCAGCCTCCCGAGTAGCTGGTATCACAGGCGTGCACCACCACGTCCGGGTAATTTTTATGTTTTTAGTAGATACGAGGTTTCACCATGTTGGCCAGGCTGATCTCAAACTCCTGAACCCAGGTGATCTGCCTGCCTCGGCCTCCCAAAGTGCTGGGATTACAGGTGTGAGCCACTGTGCCCAGCCAAAATGTGCTTTTTATTTATTTATTTATTAAATTAAATTTTATATTTTTTTTGAGATGGAGTCTCGCTCTGTCACCCAGGCTAGAGTGCAGTGGTGCGATCTCGGCTCACTGCAAGCTCCGCCTCCCGGGTTCACACCATTCTCCTGCCTCAGCCTCCCGAGTAGCTGAGACTACAGGCGCCTGCCACCTCGCCTGGCTATGTATTTTTTAGTAGAGACAGGGTTTCACCATGTTAGTCAGGATGGTCTCGATCTGCTGACCTCGTGATCCGCCCGTCTTGGCCTCCCAAAGTGCTGGGATTACAGGCATGAGCCACCGCGCCCAGCCTCAAAATGTGCTTTTTAAACATTGCTGCTAAGATATTACATTTGATAGCTTGGTTTTTCTCAGTGGCCTGAAAATAGTTGGTGTAATTAAAGTAATGAGAGTTCAAGTGGAACCTCAGTCTCTCTTTTTATTTAAAGAAATAAGATTTGAGATTCTGGCAGCTGCATTGCTTCTTCATGGGAGAGAACTTTTTATTTCAAGATGGCTGTTGAGCCAGGCCTGATGTAAACTGTGCCCCTGGAGTTCACTGGGTTTTGGAAATGTTTTGCTTATTCATAATGTAGTAGTTTCTAGATCATTTAATTCCCCCTAATTCTCAAATATGAATGTTGAATAATAGACTGATTTCTGAACTGCCAAAGGAAAATAACCATGATTTACTGCTCAGAGTTTTAAAAACTGCTTTTCTTTTTCTTAGGTCCAGATAACTCTCACCTCACATGACTGTGGTGAACTGACCAAAAAAGATGTGAAGCTGGCCAAGTTTATTGAGAAAGCAGCTGTTTCTGTGTGATTTCTTCCAAAATACATGTAAAATCTTGTACACATCTTAGCTGCAATGTATGTTGAAGGAAATTTATGTAAACAGAGTTGTTCTTTTTTTTTTTTTTTCCAGACAGAGTCTTGCTCTGTTGCCCAGGCTGGAGTGCAGTGGCCTGATATCAGCTCACTGTAACCTCCACCTCCTGGGTTCAGGCTATTCTCCTGCCTCAGCCTCTTTAGTAGCTGGGATTACAGGCATGCACCACCACGCCTGGCTAATTTTTGTATTTTTAGTATAGACGGGGTTTCACCATGTTGGTCAGGCTGGTCTCGAACTCCTGACCTCGTGATCCACCCACCTCGGCCCCCTAAAGTGCTGGGATTACAGGCGTGAGCCACCACGCCTGGCTGTTGAGTTGTTCTTAAGGCATCATATCTAGAAGCAAAAAAAAAATAAAAGAAAAATAACAATTTATGTTGTGTAAATTTAGTTTGCCTTTATATATTACATTTGGTAAAATCAGTGCTTAAATATGCAATGATTTAAACTTGAACTTGAGGTAGTTTTCATGCTATCTAATCATATACCTAACATAAACCAACCTAGTTACTTATATTAATAATATTCAGAAGGAGAAGTGGCTTTTTTTTTTGAGACGGAGTCTTGCTTTGTCGCCAGGCTGGAGTGCAGTGGTGCGATTTCGGCTCACTGCAACCTCCGCCTCCGAGGTTCAAGCGATTCTCTTACCACAGCCTCCCGAGTAGCTGGGACTATAGGCACGTGCCACCACGCCTAGCTAATTTTTGTATTTTTAGTAGAGACGGGGTTTCACCATGTTGGCCGGGATGGTCTCAATTTACTGACCTCGTGATCTGCCTGCCTTGGCCTCCCAAAGTGCTGGGATTACAGGCATGAGCCACTGCGCCTGGCCAGAAGTGGCATTCTTAAATTTATGAAATTGGGATAGGTAGTATTCACACATTTTACAACCCAGAAATTCAAGCAATTTTGGTGACTATAAATGCATTGTGTTGGAGAATAGTTGTAAGGTGGAAAAAGAATTATGAACTCGACAGATAGTGAGTTTTAACTTTAAATAACAATTCTTTTGTTTTGTTTTGTTTGTGACGGGGTCTCGCTCTGCCTCCCAGGCTGGGGTGCAGTGGCAGGATCACGGTTCACTGCAGCCCTAATCTCTGGGCTCATGCAACCTCCTCAGCCTCCTGAGTAGCTGGGACTATAGGCAAGTGCCACCACGCCAGACTAATTTTAAAATTTTTTGTAGAGATGGGGTCTCCTGTGTTGCCCAGGCTGGCCTTGAACTCTTGGGCTCAAGCAAGCCTCCCACCTCTGCCTCCCAAAGGTGTGAGCCACTGCACCCAGACAGTATAACAGTTTTTTTTTTTTTTTTTTTTTTTGACACAGGGTCTCATTCTTTTGCCCAGGCAGGAGTGCAGTGGTGTGGCCATGGTTCACTGTAGTCTTGACCTCTTAGGCTCAAGTGATCCTCTCACCTCAGCCTCCTGAGTAGCTGCAGCTACAGGCATGTACCACCACACCTGGCTTATTTTTAAAACTTTTTTATGGAGGCAGGGTCTTACTATGTTGCCATGGCTGGTCTAGAACTTCTGGGCTCAAGTGATCCTCCCGCCTTGGCCTCCCAAAATGTTGGGATTACAGGTGTGAACCACTGTGTCATAACAATTATTTAAAATTTTTAATTTGGCCGGGCGCGGTGGCTCAAGCCTGTAATCCCAGCACTTTGGGAGGCCGAGACGGGCGGATCACAAGGTCAGGAGATCGAGACCATCCTGGCTAACCCGGTGAAACCTCGTCTCTACTAAAAAATACAAAAAACTAGCCGGGCGAGGTGGCGGGCGCCTGTAGTCCCAGCTACTCGGAAGGCTGAGGCAGGAGAATGGCATGAACCCGGGAGGCGGAGCTTGCAGTGAGCTGAGATCTGGCCACTGCACTCCAGCCTGGGCGGCAGAGCCAGACTCCGTCTCAAAAAAAAAAAAAAAATTTTAATTTATTTTTAATAATTATACAAGATGGAGTCTCACTATGTTCAAGACCAGGCTAGTCTTGAACGCCTGGGCTCAAATGATCTTCTTGCCTTGACCTCCCAAAGTGCTGGGATTATAGGTGTGAGCCACTGCGCTTGGCCTATAACAATTCTTTTTTTTTTTTTTGAGACGGAGTCTCACTCTGTCGCCCGGGCTGGAGTGCAGTGGCCGGATCTCAGCTCACTGCAAGCTCTGTCTCCCGGGTTTACGCCATTCTCCTGCCTCAGCCTCCCGAGTAGCTGGGACTACAGGCGCCTGCCACCTCGCCCGGCTAGTTTTTTGTATTTTTTAGTAGAGATGGGGTTTCACCATGTTAGCCAGGATGGTCTCGATCTCCTGACCTCGTGATCCACCCATCTCGGCCTCCCAAAGTGCTGGGATTACAGGCTTGAGCCCCTTATAACCTGGCCTCTATAACAATTCTTATGAAGCTAAAGTTAATTTGGATTTTAGCTGCTGTTACTACTTAAATAATTGATTAGATCAAACAAGTCACAAAAATTGGATGAGCTCTCTTGGTGTGTTTTCTTTACTTTTCTCTTTCAACAGAGAGTTGAAGGAGAGGACAAGTGTCTTGTCCGTGGCTTCCAGGAATGTGTGGCAATACAAGATTTACTGTGAGAGCAGCGAACTCACCAGCTCATTATTTGACTTACTGAGTTAAGGAGGAACTGAGAGTCATTTTTCCCCCATCATTTGCATGTTGTGGCTCCTGAACTGAGGGTCTACAGCCACTGAAGCTAGAAGCTACTTGGGTATTATTCAGTAGTGAGCTCTACTTACTCCATGTATCACTGACAGATATAAAAAGCAATATCAAGTAATCTATTATTTAAAAATTATAATAGTGTTCTTTGAAGGAATTCAGGAATATACTACTAATGAGATTACGACGCAGATATATCCATCCATGAAGCATTTGTTAGTCCCTTGAAGCATCATGGTAGTGGAATTTAACACGGATCATTTTTGTAAACCCACCTCTCTTTAGGGGCCAGAGAAATCACTCTTTGTTACAGCAAGCAAACCTTCCCCTCTCCATGTCACCCTTGTCCCAAACCTGAGAAACATACGAGAACATGGCACAGAGGCTGAGCTCTCTGAAGCCAGTTCCTGGCTGGTTTGGCTGGCCAGGGAAAGGCAGGTATGGTCAGTTGCCCCGTGGACATGCGGTGTGCAGGGAGAGAATAGGGAAGAGAGCCACCCAGGCTCTCTGGCTGCCAGGGGATCCAGACTCTTAGCACTAGAACTTCTGTTTCTTAGAATTCTTTCAAGGGAAAAGATAAAGCTGTGTGTTTTTATAAGCTGTTTCCTATAGTGCAGATTTGGACTTCTATACATTTTATTACCAAATATTTTTAGTTAAGTGCTTCAATTTTCAACATTTTTAAAAATTTTCTTTTGAGAATCATCACCTGGATTTACAGGAATTTTTTAAGCATGAAAAAATTTAAACATATTCAAAAGTACATGAATAATACACTGAAGCCTTATATACAGATCACGCAGATATAAAAATTACCAAGATTTTGTCCCAATTGCTTCATTTTCCCCATTTCCTTCTTTGCTAAAGTATTTAAAAGCAAATTCCAGATAGCTTATCATTTCACCCCTGTATCCTTCAGTAAGTATCTATGGAAAATATGGCCATTTTCTTGTATAAACCACAGTACCTTTTTTTTTTTTTTTTTTTTTTTTGAGAAGGAGTCTCACACTGTTGCCCAGGCTGGAGTGCAATGGCACAATCTTGGCTCATTGCAACCTCTGCCTCCCAGGTTCAAGCAATTCTCCTGCCTCAGCCCCCCAGGTAGCTGGGATTACAGGTGTGTGCCACCATGCCTGGCTAATTTTTTTTTGTATCTTTAGTAGAGATGGGGTTTCATCATGTTGGCCAGGCTGGTCTCAAACTCCTGACCTCGTGATCTGCCCGCTTTGGCCTCCCAAAGTGCTGGGATTACAGGCGTGAACCATAGTGCCCGGCCCACAGTACCATTTTTATACCTAACAAAGTGATTCCTTGGTACACTTAATACCTAGGCAAAATCAAATTGTCCTGAAGGTCATGAGTGTCTTTGGACAGTAATTTGGTTCTAATCCAGGATCTATATGAAGCCCACCCATTGCATCTGGTTGTTGTGTCTCTTTAGTCTCTCAATCTGGAGCAAGCTCCCCTCCCTTCCCCATTTCCCCATGTAATTTATTTATTGTAAAAATTGGGTCAGTTGTGCTGTAGAATATTCTGGCTTCTGGATTTGTTTGTTTCTTTCTGTGGTGTCATTTAACTTGTTTTACTATACTCTAAACGGAACCCTTTTCCTCTGTTTTGAGCGGAAGTCTCAGAGGCTAAACTTGGTGTCTGTGTTAACATATGTCACATGTAGCACAGTGGAGAAAGCAGGATATGGCTCATAATTACAGTGGTGAGAATGATGTTGCTAGTTATCACCTACATGAGGGTTTGACATAGGTCTATGTTACGGGTCGCTGCATCTGCTGGAACTCATAGACTTTACTATAGAGAATCAAAAATCCCATATCCGAAGTCTATGGAAATGCTCATGGTGGTAAATTCCGACAGAATGAAACACCAAACTTGCTTCAAGTAACTCACGTTTCAACTTAAAAGAGACATTGTCAAAGTTGGAGGCCCCCAGGTTCCCGTCTGTTCCAAATCTTTGCGTGATGACAGTGGTTTCTCTGATGTGGTAAGCTGTGGCTTCCCTCTATTTTCTTTCTAAATGATCACTGGAGTAGAGAGGAGTTAAACAGACACGACCTATTACCTCTTGCATGACCTCCACCGATAGCAAACTGGGCCAACATGGTTGATGATGTCCTTTTCTACAATGAAGTTAATGAAAGTTCTGAAAATAATGGTTACTTTCTGACATTGATAGGATTTAGGAAACCTTTGGATAAATAGCTTAAGCATGGCTGTTTATGTTTTTGCTATAGACAAAAGGCAGCAACATGTACATTGTATTTGGACACAAGCCTGCCTCCATTAATAAATTAAACTATTGGACCACTAGGGTTAGTAGGGAGCAGTCTGTACACTTTCTGATACAGCATTCAGAAACATTCTAGTTGGACTCTGTAGCTTTCAGTTTTGTAGTTATCAGCAAAATATCTGGAGCTGTAATAGGGTTTGGCCATCATATATGAGCTTTGTGTTTCAGTGCCAGTTACTCAGGACTAGTAAATTAATGCCACTGTCCAGAGGACTTCAGAGTCACCAAGCTGCTGCGCCTGCCAATGGCTGACTCTCCCTGGCTATCTGTGACTGAGATGGTGTTGCCCAGGTCACGCAGAGCATGAGCTGCTGCTCAAAGGGCACAGGAGATGACCCTTGGGCTTCTCATCCTAGGATGCCCATGCTGCCCACCAATCCATGAGAAGATATGTATGA